ACATGTTGAATGCCAGGTCCCACCCACAGCTCTTGAAGACCCCTTGTTTCTTCAGCATTCACTAGCAGGTAACACACAACTTGTGAGCTGGTTTCCTCTTGTCCAGCCATAAGAGTTAGCCTCTTGCTTCTTTGTATACGTATGAACTGCTGGAGAGCTCAGTGGTTTGGGCATCTGGCTGCAGTGCCAGAGGTTGGGAGTTTGATTCCCTACTGTGCCTCCTTGACAAGGGCTGGGCACATAGGGGCCCTTCCAGCTCTGCAATTCTACGATGATGATGTTGCCTGCCTTCTAAGGAACCCCCTAGATTCAGCTTTATAAACTACAGTACTCCATTTTCCCAACCCTGTTTATAGATGTCGTTTCCTGTTGTTTGTGAAACAAGAGAGAAACATGGGCATGGCTAGAGGTGGAAAGGCCGATATCCCTGCTGTGAAAAAGATACCACTCTCACCAGTCCCCTTTTTCTTGCCCCGGCAGCATGACAGTGACATCTCTGCCTATACCTATGAGCGTACACTGATGATGGAGCAGCGTTGCCAGATGTTGCGGCAGATGCGTCTTTCTAAGACGGAACGGGACCGAGAGGTGAACGAGGTTGAGACACCTGGTGGGATGGAAGGGGTTGAAAAACCAGCACTTTCTGATTTCTCCTTCACGGACCTGCATGGAATACCTTTCTTGCAGGCTCAGCTTGTGAAGGACAGAAACTCTATGCTGCGGTTGACAAGTATCGGCTCAGACGATGATGAAGAGACTGAAACCTACCAGGAGAAGGTGCACATGACATGGACCAAGGATAAATACGTGGCATCCCGTGGGCAGAAATCCAAGTCACTCGAAGGTTTCCAGGATCTGCTCAATATGCGGCCGTAAGTACCCAACAATTCCCAGAACCCTTCAAATTTCACAGGCCTTTTCTTTCCACTTACTTACACCTCTGCTTTACATTCTGCGACTTTCAGAAACTACTGGAAATTACATGAGAGGGACTGTCCTAAGTCCTGTTTTCCAGCCTGACTTACATTCTGTGGCAAGAATATCTGTGACACCTGGTTTTATACGGTAGAACAAGAATTTTCCCGTCCAGCAAACATAAGAATTGCAAGGGGAAAAAATTATGCTTTACAGTTTGGGCGTTCTTCCAATTGTGCCTCCAAATGACATGTTTCATTAGGGTTTCCTGTAATTTTCCCCCATCAGTGCAAAACCCCTGTGTCTCTTCCCACCGGCCCATAGCTGTTGTGGGCTGCCATGTCGCATCTCACGTTGTTGTAGCTGCCACATTATTCTCTGTTCTGCAGGAAGTGCTCTTTTCTCTTCTCTAAAACATACGTGCCTTTAGTGATCTCCCCCATTTCCCCAGATGTTTCATCTAGAGATGGGCATGAAGTGCCAGTTTAGTGGTTGGCTCAACAGATGTTCCTAGTTGGGGCTCCAAACCTAACCGGCAGTTCACGGCCATCTTCTGGTCTCATCCACAGAGCAATTACTTTTATAAAAAGTCATATATGCATTGGGTCTTGGTGATAACCCACCTCTTCTCCTCCCCAGGGACCAGTCCAATGTGCGACGCATGCACACAGCTGTCAAACTCAATGAGGTCATTGTCAACAAGTCCCATGAAGCCAAGTTGGTGTTGCTTAATATGCCAGGTCCGCCACGAAATCCTGAGGGAGATGAGAATTGTATCCTTTCCTGCAGAAACCTCTTCCGGGGGGTGGAGGTGATCAGAGGGATTGGAGGGGGTGTCTGGACACTTGCATACGGTTACTTCCTTGACTGTCCCCCACCTCCAGATATGGAATTCCTGGAGGTGCTCACCGAGGGGCTTGAGCGTGTGCTGCTTGTGCGGGGTGGTGGCAGCGAGGTCATCACCATCTACTCCTAGAGGCACTGGAAGGTCCTCCTTCTGACGGACTAGCTTCTGTCCAATTGGCATCTGCTTCCTGCCTGTGACCACCTGCCACTTGAACTCCCAAGAAGAGCAGTTCTTGGTGACACGCCTCCTTCGCTTCCTTTTCCCCCTGTGGCCTCATGGGCCTGAAGTCAGGGCAGTTTTCTCCTTGTTGAGGACAGAGAGTTAACATTTTCTTCTCTCCTTCCAGAAGAACCAACATGAGCTTTTTAGACAGGTGGGTTGGGAGGTGATGCAGTCTCTCCCTCCACAAGCGTAAAAGCCCTCGAGACAAGTACCGATTCTGGTGGGGGTAAAAAGGAGCACAAGAGCAGGGACACCCCCACTGCTTCTGCCTTCTAGTTGCTGCTAACATTCTCCAGGAGCCATTACAAGAGTGTGACAGGACCATCAGCTGGAAGGACAGTTGCATGTCCTTGTCTGTTGAGGGAAATAAGAAAAGGGGACTGGAGCTTTACCCTCTGTGGTGCCATTCTCTTCTGGTTAGTGCCAAGGTCTTTCAGCTTTCTCCTTGAAATCAGAGGGAGAGAGCATCTGGAAAGATGGAGGTGCTTCTATAGTTCTTCATCCGTAGCTTCTTGGAGGGGTTCCGAACTCTAAATTCACCTTTTGCCAAGGCAAGTTGGTAGAGAATGGTTGTCCCCTAATGGAGGCAGCAGTACCGATGGAGGGATTTATGTGACTGTCCTCCCAGCCAGCCCTTTTCCCTGTGGCCCTCACACTCCTGCCTGGGTAAGGAAGCCCAGAGACTTATTTCCCCAGTCTTATGCAAGTATTAAAACAGAATAGGTTGCAGTATCTGGTTGTCAAGGGAAGGTGGACAAGAGAACAGCCAGTATCCTGTTGTGATTCTGTCTGCATAATGAGAATGTCAGCAGCAGCCAATTGCTGATTAAGGAGTTCCTTTCCCAGTTGGGGGGTGCACGGGATTTTGCTTCACTGCACATGAGTCACACGGTATCCCCTTCCCCAAATAGAAAAAGGAACTCTTTGGCCAGAAGCAGGCTGCTGCTGGTCCCATTCCTGTTGCACAGGATAAATGTCAAAAGGAGTGGAAACAGCAATATCTCCTGACATTTGTTAAGTCTGCATGCTCCTGAGTACGTACACCCCCTTCCCTTGAATATGAGAGAAACTATAACCCTTTCTATGCCAAAACATTTAAGCTCACCCTCTTTTTAGAACAGTTTTCTCAGTGGTGAAGACCCACAACTGCTGTTTTCATGAGTGCTGGGAATGAGTCCTTCTTACCCCTACAGAAACAAACAGGGGGAAAGGTGCTGTGTCTGTTTTGTCCTATTCAGTTTCAATGATGGATGTCTAAATCTCCTCCTCACATCCCTTGCTCAAGAACCGTATACAGGGACCACTCCTTTGGGGTAGCCTTAAGCAGATGCATCTCCAACCTCTCCTCCAGCTTTCTTTCTAAAGGGAATTTCACACACCACTGTACATCTCTTGAGGGGGGTCTTTAATTTATTGGGGATGTAGCCTTGTTTACATAGAAAGTTTTGGGGTGTGATTTTTTTTTTTTTGGCTTCCTGAATTATGTAAAGAATAAACTTTTTATACATAGTTTTGCGTCTCACCTGTTCTGCAGTCTCAATGCTTTCAGGAACGCGATGACAAACCTAGACAGCATCTTGAAAAGCAGACACATCGCCTTGCCGACAAAGGTCCGCGTATTCAAAGCTATGGTTTTTCCAGTAGCGATGTGTGGAAGTGAGAGCTGGATCATAAAGAAGGCTGACCGCTGAAGAATTGATGCTTTTGAATTGTGGTGTCGGAGGACTCTTGAGAGTCCCCTGGACTGCAAAGAGAACAAACCTATCCATTTTGAAGGAAATCAACCCTGAGTGCGCACTGGAAGGACAGATCCTGAAGCTGAGGCTCCAGTACTTTGGCCATCTCATGAGAAGACAAGACTCCCTGGAAAAGACCCTGATGTTGGGAAAATGTGAGGGCAAGAGGAGAAGGGGACGACAAAGGACGAGATGGTTGGACAGTCTCATTGAAGCTACCAACATGAATTTGACCCAACTCCAGGAGGCAGTGGAAGACAGGAGGGCCTGGCGTGCTCTGGTCCATGGGGTCATGAAGAGTCGGACAAGACTTAACGACTAAACAACAAGAGGTCGTCGTCTCAGCACATTCATTGATCATGTAGAATTCAATCATGGTAGAGTCTGCTCCATACTTAAAGGGCAGGAGTGGGCAACGTGAGCTGGAAGACAACTCTCATGTTCCTTTGCTGCAAACACTAGTCTCTCAGGCTGATGGAAGTTACAGACTGACAACCCCTCAAACGTCTTCATTCCTACATTTGCCAATAGAAACTGAATTCAGTGGTCTGATCCAACATACACCGAAGATATGTTGTAGGTGAATAAGAAAATGTAGACTGGTATTTCATTTTGCATAGTGCTTACTCTTTACAACCCAACGAAAAACATTGCAGTATCTGGTTGTTAAGGGAAGGTGGGAGGATAAGAGAACGGTCAGTATCCCCTTGTATGGCTCTGCCCGCATAGTGGGAATTACAGCAGCAGCAGCAATCTGCTTTTTATTATGTCGGTTAGTCAGAACCCGATAAGGATGCCTGACTCCCCCGAGGAGTCCTATAGAGATTTATAGACTTCTCGGGAAAAGAACAGAATGGTGCACTTCTCCTAAAATTATTCATGCCGCTTCCAGAAATCAGTATCTGGAATTTAAGGGGCTAACCATTTTAGTGCATAGGTGGAGTACTGTGTGTTACCTCACATGTGGTCAGAATATCTATTCTTTTACCTCAGCAGTGACTACTGACAGTTCTTACCACCTGTGGTTCTCCAGCACAGATTTCTGATCACTTGCTACCTCTTCATGTGTGTTTTTCAAAAGTAACTAGATATCCTCTGGACCTCCTGTGAGCAAAACTTGGTATCTCCAGGGATTATGAAATATACGTTATATAAAAAGGAAAATGAAAGCTGGTTTACCAGCCTGCTGACCTCCTTGTGTCAGGAAATCTATGAAAACAAACTTATTTGTTACTACTTTTATTTAAAGAGGGGAAGATGAAAAACTTGGCAGGATTAGCTTTTTCGCTCCTTCCTGCACTGCACATCAGTCTTTTTCTCCTCTGTGGGGGTCTGCATTTCCATCTGTTATTCCACACACGCAAAAATATCCTTTTCCAAATTGGCAGCTTTGTGAAGAAGTCATGAGGCATGAACAAAGATCAGTATTCGGCAGTCCAATCCTCTCAAGCAGTGATCAGCTGCTGGTACGAGGGTTGAATCATAATATGAGGCCCCCGCCAGTGAACTCCATGCGCTGGGCATGAAAAGAAGACAGAAAGTACCATCAGCAAATGTGAGCAAGGATCTTAATAATGAAACTATTTTAGTAGGAGGTTCTCAATCACAGATTAACAGGAAAAAATAATACACATATCTTTGTTATTATACTCCTGTAAAATATTTTAACTTCTAGGACTGATTTTTTTAAAGTCCAGAAGGGAATTCAGCTTTGATCTCGGGAAGCAAGTCTTGTGTCACCTTCCTTATTCTTAGCCTTCATACAGAACTGACGACCTAGATCATTATGACTTGCCTCTTGAGTAATCTTGCTCCCATTCACCAATAAAGTCAACACCTCTCTTGAAAATTTTAAGACCCCAGAACTCTTCATACTCACCTCCGGCGGTTCAATAAAAGCCAGCCAGTCAGAAGCATGAGTCGGCAGCAGTCCCATTGACTGGCACTTGTAAACAGCCAATGCCAATCCTAAGAGGTTGCCGATTAAATACACCAGACCCTGAAGGAATTTTTGGCTTGAACTCTCAAGTAGCTTGAAGGCTGTGGGATCAACAAGAAGTCAAGAGACAGAAGAGACAACAGAGATACATCCTCTCTGACACCTAGAGGCAAAGGGCTGTTTATATCTCCTTGGGATGATGCCTTTTTTGGGCTACGTACAACAGCATGCTTCCCACAGGTGAAGAAGCAGCAGTATGGCATGAGTGCTATGAATTTCTTCCACAAGAAGAGCAGTCCTGTTACTGAGATAAGTTAATGCATGATCCATCAATATTAGGAGAATCTGATTTTAGTTAAATCTGATAAGAGCAGCCCTGTTACTGAGATAAGTTAATACATGATCCATCAATATTAGAAGGAGAATCTGATTTTAGTTAAATCTGATTTTTCATGAATGCCAGATCTAAGTATAAGACACACTGTTCTCCAAGTCTGCTCAGGGCAGGCATACATGGATTTGGCATTCCATTATATCACCACATCTCTGCAGTCAGACATTCTGGTTCTGGATGCCCAAGTGTAATCTCCCCAATCATCACCTCAAGTTGGCAGCATCATCAGGAACACTGTCCAGCAGGACTTCTGAGGTTTAGACTCACTCAACACAAGAAATTGCTCTTCCCTGTCCATTCCTATAACATATTCTAGTTCATTTGTTATACACATGCTTCATTCACATGACTGTTCTCGGGCTGGGCCGTTTAGGAACTGTATAGTATGCTATCTTGCTCTTGTATCTAACAATTATATCCAAGGACCCTTCCCTTAAAAGCACTTACAATTTGGAACAATGATACCAGCACCTCTGTGCAAAGACCCTTCCCTTAAGCACCTATAATTTGGAACAATGATACCAGCACCTCTGTCTGAGCAACACCGTGTACACTCTAGATTTCATTTGAAGTGAAACATTAGGTTTCTAAAGTACACACAATCTTTCCCAGGTGGGACCTTGGGCAAGTCTAAGCCCACGAAGCAGAAAGCAGACAAGATAGGGTTAAGAAAAAGCACACAAGAATAAGGTGATTGCTGTGGAAGTGGGTTACGGTCTACTTACTGGCAGAAATGGACATCAGTGCTTGAATAGGTCTCCAGGCCATCATGCAGACCATCATAGTGGGGAAGATGGATATTGTGTTGCCTGCCATATACATGATGAACAAGTTCATAGGGATTTGCTTCAAGGGACCTAGGGCAATATCCCAGCAGCGCTAGGTTAAAGACAGAGTCGAAGAGGCAAATTTTAGATTTACGAAGCTATTTGTGGCCACCACAATGTTCTCACAACTCATACCAAGGTTGTACATTTTTGGTTGCCAAGAGAGCATACTTAAGGAATCCAACAAGCCAAGCCTCACCTCCCAGCCCTGCACTATACTACCTTTTCCACCAAGATGCGATCCGTTTCCTGGACACTGGTGTCTGGCACCTGCTTGTCTGAGTAGCCTATGGGATACAGAGTGTCACCCTGACCACTGCTGCGGTCACTTCGGCCTCTGGCAAGAGAAGAGAAACAACAGCATCAAATGCCTACATCTGGAAAGCAGCTCTCTCATCCTTCTCACGAACCAAGGATCAAAACCATTGCTCCAGAAGTTGCCTATATAAAGGTCTCCCCCTAGGCACGTACCGACTTCCACTGCCTGGCCCACTCAATTCAATGGCCCATTTGAAACGCCGCCCTCGATTGGTCACCAGTCCCCCTGGGGTGCTCATCTCTTCCTGTAAAAAAAAAAAAGCTAAATACAGACCCTTTGTGGGAATATTGAATAGGTACAAAAGATATGAGCTCATCTCCAAATATTTCCCCCCGATTCCCTGGAAATCAAAAGTTTCTTTAATGCATCATTGTCTCTACCTCTCATAAATCAGTGTCTTCACATAACCTAAAGAAACTGATAAAAATATCAATACTCCCAACAGCGTTACTCGGATCACCTAGCATCTCCACGTTCAGCGTTGCTACTCGTTCTGAGTTTCAGCAGTATCCACTAACTGCTTATCTCCATCCCAGAGAGAAGAAACTCTCCATCTTTTAATAGTTATTCAATTCTTCAAACATCCTCCAGTCTATGAATGTGAGACACTGTGCTTTTGTATCCAAAATGCCAGGAAATGGCCCACCCAGTATTGCTGAACAATATTGTGCCCACATTGAGAGCAAAAAATTATAAATAAATAAAAGGGAAAAAAAGGTGCCAAACTTTACACAGCGAAGTAAAAAATTATAAATAAATAAAAGGGGAAAAAAGGTGCCAAACTTTACACAGCGAAGGGTGGCTTGATAAATTATATCTTATTAGTAGGATATAATATATGCTGCTAATAAATCCTATTCAGATGTTTTTCGGTCCCTCTTTGGGGAAGAAGTCAGGGTAGCGACAAAATGAATAAAATAAATAGTAAGCATAAATGTGGCTCCAGAGATGAAGGAGCAAAGCTATTCCCCCAGTAAAAAAAAACAAACCTGATCCACACCTGAAGGGATAAAAATAAAAGAACCCTGAACAGTTTTAAACCATTTTGGAACTGCCCTAACAAATATAATTCAATATACTTTGCAGCTGCTTATTTGAGTCCATGGCATACCTCCAAAAAGAATCTGCTTCTGTTTCTTCCACCACCTCCTGCTTCTGCTCACCTCTCTAATTCCGCCTCCAGCCTCTTTCCATCCACCCTGCTAAGGCCACTTCCGGCTTGGCCTTAAGCCCCACTTCCTCTTTCCGGTGACGTCATGTATCCATAGAAACCATAGCGACAAGAAGCAGGGTTTCCTTTCCTGCTTAACCTTAGAAGTGAAGGCTATTTATCCGAAGGTCCTTGCCCCTATAGCTTTACAGTATTTACATTATACGTACCCATTTATAAATACAAAACACATATAAATGTACACATATTTACGATTTCACTAGATAATAAACAGGCATACACGGATTTATGATTTTAACATATATTTCCATTTAAAATAGAATGATCTATGTATTATAAATCCAGATTAACATTAGATATTTATATAATATACATTAATATATATTTAAAATATGTTTGTTTGGAAATATGTATTAAGATCACAAATATGCGTATATCTGTTATATTTATATAATGTAAATATGTATGAATAATATACAGATAAATATGTAAATTATACAGTATATACCCTGTTTCCCCTAAAATAACACCTAACCTGAAAATAAGCCCTAATACGTTTTGGAGCAAAAATTAATATAAGACTCTGTCTTAATTTTCGGGGAAAGAGGGTATATTGACTAGTATTTCACACACACCTCTATATCTCATTCCTCCACCACCATAGTAATTCAAAGGCTAGAGCGGCCCCCGTTGTTTGGATAAGATAAGACAATCTTGGCTTAATATGGCGCCTTTACAGGAAGTCAAAGCTGGGGGGGAGTCACTCTACCTCCGTCTCTTCCTCTCCATGGTTTTAACAGGGAGGGGGGAAAAACCTTGCTCCCTTTCCTGCGCACGCGCGTTCAGCTTGCTTAGCCATGCGAGTGTTAGTAGGTGAGTGGCGTTAGAGAGGAGTTTGCTTAAGGAAGGGAGGGGGGTCGGTGAAGCAACGGGGGGGGGGGGAAGAAGGTGCCCTTGAACCCGAAGGGTTTCGTGATGGTGGTTTTGCAATGAGAATCGGCGTGCGTTTATCTGTAAAGGAATCTGCGACCTGGAATTTGCAAATTTAGGCTTGATTTGTGATTGACGAGTCGCGGGAAACACGCGTCTGTGTGAACGAGGTTTTAACTTTGCGGGGTTTAGACGCTCAGTCGATGGCTGAGCACCAGCCACGAGTCAGCAGGGAGCCTGCCACCCTTCTTGCCCCATTTAGGAGTCACGCAAGAGCAGTGCCGACCCAACACATTGTGCTGCCTGAGGCAGAGCTGTAAGCCACACCCTCTGCCCCTGGGGGCGGGGGGTTTGCAGGTGCATAAAAGGCATGCTTGTTTTGTCAGCCCCAGCCTAATTTTCCACTCCTCCTTGAGAAGCAGAGGCTGCAGAAATCCTCTCTCCACCAGCTTCTGCAGTTAAGATGATGATGATGATGATGACTGAACTGCAGAGCTGAAGGGGACCCTATGGATTATCGAGGCCATCCCCTGTCAAGGAGACGTAGTGGGGACTTGAACTCCCAACCTCTGGCTCCATAGCCAGAGATCTAAACCACGTGTTCAGAAAAAAAAAATCAGTACACCACTTATGTTTGGGTGAGAAATGGTTAACTGATGGGGAAAAAAGGGGGGGTCTCGGGTTCTGGGATTCCCCCCCCCCTTGTTTGTGTCCTTCCAGATGCACCGGGAGGGTCATTCTCAGACAGGCACGTGGCCTGTGGGCAAGCCCAGCCCACAACCACCACCCCCCGGGAGGTGGGGTGGAAAGTTGGGTGGGAGATTTTGAAATCTGCATTGCAGGTCCCACCCGAGCCTTCAAACAGAATGAGATCAAAGGCAAAAGATTGAAGAGAAACCAGAGGCCATTACTTCACTTCTGCTGTAGGAAATGAAAGGGGGAAGGAAAGGAATAAGAAATCACTTTTGTGTAGTCTATATGACTATCTAAAAATAAAGGAAATTAAAAAAACTGGATGGGTGAATTTGGGGCCGGCATTCTTAGCCTGATCTACAGTATCTCACTGGGTCACTGAGCTGGTGAAAGAGGGGAAAAGTACAATATATAAAAGCAGCATTGAGGCTTTTGGAGAAAAGACTAGATATATCATTTCCAGAAGTAGCAGCGACCTGCAATTTCATATGCTTTACTATGGAAGGAGTCGTTGCAGAACAAGTCTTTTGCAAATCAGAGGCCTCTTGTTACGGGTTAGAAATACGTCCCTCCTTTGCCCAACCGATTATCATTCCCTACAGTACTATAATTCTTAAAATGCATCCGAAGATGTAGGCTGCAGTCCACAAAATGTCGTGCCTGATAAAAATGGTTAGTCTTTGAAGGAGTCACTAGAAATTAGTTTTGCAGCAGAAGGCCCCATGTCGCTAACCATGAGAATAGAGGTGGTTGACATGACGGTCCTACCGAGCTTTGGATCCACTTTCAAGAAGAGTAAAAAAAAAAAAACACAGACTCTTGTGTGACTCCATATCAGCAAACCTTTTGTGCCACTTTCTTCTCCCTAGAAACAGGTCTTTTGTAAGGCTAATGGATCTCAATCATCCATTCAAGGCCAAGCTAGGTAAAGGTAAAGGTTCCCCTTGACATTTAGTCCAGTCGTGTCTGACTGTAGGACGTGGTGTTCATCCCCGTCTACAAGCCATAGAGCCAGCGTTTGTCCAAAGACACTTCCTGTTGTCACGTGGCCAGCGCGACTAGACACGGAATGCTGTGACCTTCCCACCGTGGTGGTACCTATTTATTCGCATTTTTACATGCTTTCAAACTGTTGGCAGGAGCTGGGACAAGCGATGGGAGTTCACTCCGTCATGTGGATTCAATCTTATTACTGCTGGTCTTCTGACCCTGCAGCACAGAGGCTTCTGTGGTTTGACCTGCTCTAAAGAGTTTTAAGCTCAAATAAGCAAGTCATTGGAAATCTAGGGACAGAAGTTGCCCACTCACACACCTACTAGATCTCACCCAGTCTAGGTTGCAAAGGTGGTGGATTCTGAGAACTAGAGTTTGGCTCCTTTCACCTCGTGGAACGACTTCTTTAAGGAGACAAATTCCTGACATGGTTTAAAACAAGTTATTGCTGTGAAATTTTTGTGACTATTACCATAGTCTTTCAAGACTAAAGGATGCCTAACTCTAAACTAATTGCTGTGAAAATAGACACCCGCCCTACATAGCTGAGATGAAGATCACAGGTTAACTCAGTGGTCAGAAGGAGCTATTACTAATCAGAAAATCAAAAATTTTTGGCCCTAAGAAGACTACCCCCACTGTACTCACCAGGGGAAAAATGCTGTTTCTTAAATTGCAGAATTTCCCAGGTAATCGATCCAGGACTTTTAGTCCAAACTTTAATACTATAGATAGAGAAAGATGGGGAGACAGGGTTTTTTACAATCTCTTTTTCTTCCCTTTTCCCTTTCTTTTTTAATACTTGAGAATTCTGGCATCGCCAGGAAACTTTTTTAAAAAATTAAAATTTGAGGTTGTTTGGGAGAGCTCAGATATGCAAGGGAAAGGCGTGGCAAAATGTCCCTATGGCTGCTGAATAGCATAAGGAAACCATTTTAGCAAAATGTTTTAATTTATTTTAATCTTAATTGGGGGGAGGAGGTGTTGGAGAGGGTTAGGTGTTTGGGGACTGCATTTGGACCCATGACCTGCGTGTTGACTTCCTTGTTAAATTACCAGTTAAATGATAAACTATCCGTTGATTTATTGCAGGAGGGGTGTTGACTATAATTTTCAATGTCACAATATTCATTTCTTTGTTGATTCCATCATTCTTTTGCCTTTTTCCTACTTGGGGGAAAAAAGGAAAATCGTGTTAAATCATTTTCTCTGTTCCAATTCTGGCTTAAACTAGGTGGTGGGACTGGGTTTGTCGGCCGAGCCTTAACCCAACTGCTGCAGAGCCGAGGGCATGAAGTCACCGTTATCTCCCGCCGCCCTGGAAAAAACAAGATCACTTGGGTATGTAATGAAGGATTTGAACTTTGAATTGATTGAAGTATATGATCCAGCTCTCACTTCCAGTAGCAATGTATGGAAGGGAGAGCTGGACCATAAAGAAAGCTGACTGCCAAAGAATTGATGCTTTTGAATTGTGATGCTGGAGGAGACTCTTGAGAGTCCCCTTGTTTTGGAACTGCATTTGGACCCATGACCTGTGTGTTGACTTCCTTGTTAAATTACCACTAAATGATAAACTATCTGTTGATTTATTGCAGGAGGGGTGTTGACTATAATTTTCAATGTCACAATATTCATTTCTTTGTTGATTCCATCATTCTTTTGCCTTCTTCCTACTTGGGGGAAAAAAAAGAAAAATCGTGTTAAATCATTTTCTCTATTCCAATTCTGGCTTAAACTAGGCGGTGGGACAGGGTTTGTTGGCCGAGCCTTAACCCAACTGCTGCAGAGCCGAGGGCATGAAGTCACCGTTATCTCCCGCCAGCCTGGAAAAAACAAGATCACTTGGGTATGTAATGACGGATTACCTTGAACTTTGAATTGATTGGAGTATATGATCCAGCTCTCACTTCCAGTAGCAATGTATGGAAGGGAGAGCTGGACCATAAAGAAAGCTGACTGCCAAAGAATTGATGCTTTTGAATTGTGATGCTGGAGGAGACTCTTGAGAGTCCCCTGGACTGCAAAGAGAACGAATCTATCCGTTTTGAAGGTGCTCACTGGAAGGACAGATCCTAAAGCTGAGGCTCCAATACTTTAGCCATCTCATGAGAAGAGAAGACTCCCTGGAAAAGACATGGATGTTGGGAAAGTGTGAGGGCAAGAGGAGAAGGGGACGACAGAGGACGAGATGGTTGGAGAGTGTCATCGAAACAACCAACATGAATTTGACACAACTCTGGGAGGCAGTGGAAGACAGGTCGGCCTGGCGTGCTCTGTTCCATGGGGTCACGAAGAGTCGGACACGACTAAATGACTAAACAACAACAAAATATGATGAATAGCTTTAAGGTTATACAAATGAGGCTCACCACAATCAAGTTTGTAATGTTTTCCTTGTGGTAAGAGTACCTGTGAGAAGATTGTGAGATGAAGGCTTCCATGAAAAGCTACTGATTTTGCCATGGAAGCTCAACAGGCAGGGCCAGTAAGCGTGAGAGCCAGCACAATAGAGTAGTGATGATGCTGAATGAGGACTCAGGAGAGCCGAGTTCAAATTTTTACTCACTTGTGAAGCTCACCAAGGGATATAGGGCCAGTTTTTACCTCTCAGCATAACCTACCACTGGGTTATTGTGAGAGTAGAAATGTTGACAAGAACCATTTATGTCATCTTAGCTCTTTTCAGGAAGATATAATAATGTTCTTTTGGTGGTGGTGGTTACATGCTGTCAAGTCACCTCCAATTTAAGGCAACCCTACAAATGAATACTCTCCAAAATGTCCTGTCCCCAACATTCTTGCTCAGCTCTTGCAAACGCAAGCTTGTGGTTCCTTTAGGGAGTCAATACTTCTCATATCTGAGCTTCCTCTTTTCCTACTGCCTTCAACCTTTCTCAGCATTGTTGTCTTTTCCAGAGAATCCTGCCATCTCCTGATGCACCCAAAGAAGAACAGGCTCACTTTCTACATTTTTGCCTCCAGGGATAGCTCAGGCTTGATTTGATGTCTAATAAAAGCAGGAAATAAATCCATTTATTTATTTATTTATTTATTTATTCATTCATTCATTCATTCATTCATTCATTCATTCATTCATTCTATTTATATCTCGCCTATCTGGTCAATTAAGACCACTCTAGGCGGCTTTTATTGAAGGTGTATGAGCACAGAGTTGCAAATCGGTGAAAATGGTGGATTGGGGCTAGGACACTTACTTTTTGAGGGAGGAGAATATATGAACCTTCAGAGCTGGGCAGATTCCTCATCTCTGTCCCTTTTCACTAGGATGAGCTTTCCCGCACAGGGCTCCCTCCCTGCGAAGGTGCAGTCAACCTTTCTGGAGAAAATGTCCTTAACCCTTTCCAGAGGTAAGTTCTACTGCTTCTGGGCAGTGGCACTTGGGGAATCATCTGATGGGAGTTTGCTAACAGGTTCTGCACCCTCTCCAGCCCTGATTGTCGAGAGTTTGATTCCCCATTGTATATCTTGGGAGAAAAACCAGCCCATGTAGCCTTGAGCAAGCTGCACCTGATTGTCGAGAGTTGATTCCCCATTGTATATCTTGGGAGAAAAACCAGCCCATGTAGCCTTGAGCAAGCTGCACAGTTCCAAAGCGCCTCCAAAAGAAAGGAATGGCAATTAATATATACAGTGGTGCCTCACATTACGTTCCTGCGAAATCGCTGTAGAACGAAAACGTCGTAAAGCGAAAATAAAAAAGCCACTGAAACGCATTAAAACCTGGTTAATGTGTTCCAATAGGCAAAGAACTCACCGTCCAGCAAAGATCCTCCATGGGGCAGCCATTTTCGGGTGCCTGTGCAGCGAAAAATGGCTCCTAAACACAGCGGGGAGCCATTTTGAGCACCCGGTGGCCATTTTGAAACCCCGACGATCAGCTGTTTTTATCGTCGGGAAGTGAAAATCAGTTCCCGAAACAGGGAACCGATCATTGCGCAGCGAAATTCCCCCATTCAAAACGTTTTGCGATTGCTTTTGCGATCGCAAAAACCTCGTCGTAATGCGGATTCATCTTTAAACGGAGAGCCCGTCTTGCGAGGCACCACTGTATATTAATTTAATGCATTATTTCTAAGCTGTGTTCCAGCTTCAAGGCTTGCATTTTTCCTGAGTCCTTGTTTCACGAAATGCACTGAGCAGTTGGAGGTAATGCTTTGTTTCATGTCCTCCTAGAATTCATGAAGAGATTAAGCCAGTGACTTCCAAAAAGAGGGGCGTGTGTTGTGTTCAAAAAAGGCAAGAACCATAGGAAACATGCAAGCGAACCGCCAGTGGCGGCAGTAATTTTCTTTGTTTCTTCCTTGGGAGACATTTAGGCGGCTGCTCGTAAGCCTATGTAAATAACCAATGTGACGAGATGGACAAAGTGTGGAGTGATGTCCCGGTGATTTACTTTTGCTTCCATAGATGGAATGAATCCTTCCAACAGGAAGTGGTCGCCAGCCGAGTCGAGACCACCAAGGCGTTGGCAAAAGCCATTGCTGAAGCCGAGCATCCTCCCCGGGCCTGGGTGCTAGTCACCGGCGTAGGTATTTACCTGAGTGTTTTTCTCAATATTTTACTGGGAGTTAAATAGTTTGGTGGCCCAGAACCTTTGAGAGCCTGCAGGGTTTGTAGCTTGTGAAGTCAAAGAAGCAGGTGGAAGCAGAAGCAGATCACAGAGGAAAACCTCATAGATTGCTCAAAGTTAGCGTGTATAAGACTATACTTTTCTCTAAATCTTTAGACTAAAAATTGAGGGTCGTCTTATACATGGAAGTAAGCTGAGGAAAGAACAAAAATAAGTGGAGGGGAAAGCAGGGATCAAAGCGATCCTGCAGGGCTTTGATCCCTGCTTTCCCCTCCACTTGCTAAGCCCCATTTATATTTCTTAATTTTAGGTTAGAAGAGTGGGGGGTGTCTTATATATGGAAAAATACGGTAATCAGCGATCCTGTGTCGGTGTTTCCTACCAGAATATGGATTCTAAGACCTGCTTTTTAAGAAGGTGAAATTTGTCTAAGACGAATGGGCTAGTGAGTCCAGTTGGAAGGCCCCATTGAATGAATCTCTGTGCAATATTCTGCCCAGGTTATTACAAGCCCAGCCACACCACCAGATACACAGAAGACAGCCCCGGTGGCGATTTTGATTTCTTCTCTCGCCTGGTAACCCGTTGGGAGGCAGCCGCTAAAATCCCTGGGGACCGCACACGACAGGTGGTTGTGAGATCTGGTAAGGTGTAAAGTCAAACCTTTTCAGTGTAACAAGGCATTGGTTTTGAGCATTGATGTGATGGGAGGGTCTGCATCTTGTTTTAAAGGAGTGACATGGAGAGTTCCAGGAGCAACAAGGTGTATCAGGAGGGCTGCACCTTGTTTTAAAGCAGCTATGATGGTCCTCAAGTGTCTGTCTTAGTGTAACATAATGGCTAACCTAGAAACATGAAAATCCCTGGTTCGAATTTTGATCTGCCACAATATCCGGTTTCTGGTGATAAACTTTCTCGTTCCCCTTGCCACTCCTTGCATGTGGCGATAGAGTGTTAATAGCAGAGACCTACCTTACAAGGGTGTTGCAGAGTTCACACTGGAAATATTTTGACTACTCAGAAACACTTTATACATTTTTCATCCTATGTGTCTGAAGAAGTGGGTTCTTACCCATGAAACAAATCCATCTTACGAATACCATGGTAAGTTTTTGTGTGTGAGAGAGAATCTGTACACAAGAGTGGTTGTTATTATCCAACCTCACTTAATGCCAAATGGAACAAGATCTTTAAGGTACGTGAGATGTTTGAGAACCTGTTTACCAGTGCCAACACCCCAGCTGTTTTTTTTGCGGTTGAGCCAGGATTTTAACCCAGATCTCCGAAGTCATAGACTGGCACATTATTCACTAAGCCATATTAGTTCTCTAATAGTAATGGTGCTGGTGCTGGGAGTGTCAATAATGGCGCTCATCCTCCTAATCTTTCTTTTTTTGTGTCTCCAGGTGTTGTGCTGGGCAGAGATGGCGGTGCCATTGCCCAGATGCTTTGGCCCTTTCGCCTCGGCCTGGGGGGCCCCATCGCTTCCGGCCGACAGCCTTTCCCCTGGATCCACGTGGCAGATTTAGCTGGCATCGTGGCACACGCCTTGGAGAGGGATGGCGTCACCGGCATCTTGAATGGCGTTTCCCCATTGGCCGTGACCACCACGAGTGGGGATTTTGCCCAGGCGATGGGGTCGGCCCTCCGGCGACCTGCCGTGTTGCCCCTGCCGGGCTTTGTCGTCTCTGCCATCTTTGGCCCTGAGAGGAGCGTCATGTTGCTCGAAGGGCAGCGTGTGGAACCCAAACGGACTTTGGAAACTAATTACCGCTTTGTGTTTCCTGATCTTCCCTCTGCTCTCCGCGATATTTTAGCCTGAGCTGAGGGAGGAAGAAAAATGTGAATTTGAACTCGGAACCCACTGCTCCATCCCAGCTGTTCTTAACAATGACACCTACAATAAAAGGTGTCTCATATCCCCTTAAGTTTAACGTTGAAATTGAGTTTTTAGGCACAAGGGGTGTTTTTCAGATTTTTTAAAAAAAGTTGAAGATTTTGTGGTGGGTGGCCTGTGTGTGTGTTGAACGGTAGTTATAATTTTTTTAAAAAGCGATCCTTGAAAACCTGTGTCTTCAGACAGGTTTTCCAAGATATCACACCTTCATACCACAGAGGCTTTTTTAGCACTTATATAATCTGTCTTGCCATTTTGCCTTTTTCGTTTTTAGTGATTTTGATGTTGTCTTTGTGTATGGATCGTTATGTTTGATTTTTGGTTTTGTCTTGTTTTATCGCACTGTGGGCCACCCAGAGTGGCTTGGGTAGCCAGATGGGCAGTATAAAAGATGAATGAATGAATGAATGCATGCATGCATGCATGCATGCATGCCCGCCCAGCATTGAACCCGTAGCTTTCTGCTAGTCAAGTAAGGGCTGTGCCTCATCCACTGGAACATCTTTTCCCAGAGTAACTTTATACCCCCAATCTGTTGCTCAGAGTTGGAAGGCCATCTTTAACTAGCCTCTTCCACCACCACTGCTGGAGGCAGACAAGAGAAAATTGGAGAACCATCAGTCAGATCTGCTTTGATTTGTATTCCTGCGCTGAGCAGGGGGTTGGACTTGATGGCCTTAGAGGCCCCACCCAGCTCAGTGATTCTATGATTCAATTCTACCACCTACGGCAGGTGATGCACCAAACCCAAAATCCCTTCAGGAAAACAAACAGATGAGTAAGCTCTTTAGCTTCTGACATAACTTTGGATCTTCCACTAACCTTGGAGGATTAAACTGGCCCTGTTAAATCAGCTAAAGCTTTTATTGACTTAACTTGGCAAGCAACCTGTTAGAGCATGCATAGTTCAGAAAACTTGCTCCAGAAGACACAAGAGTGTTTCCGTTTTCGCACCAATGGCTACAGAGAAATGTGACGCTAATATTAACTAGCATAGCGTACGGATGTCGGCTGTTCTGCAACCAATACTGCAACATGTGGTGGGCAGGGACGACACATCACGTCTTCTATCTGTGGATCGTCGCCATGTGCCTTGTAAGGCTTTCTCGGCTTTCTCTGGAGCAGGAATAACTTCAAAATTCCGGGCCTCTTCCAGTTCTTGGAAACCCAGGTGGTATTCTGGATCTGCGTCATTTAAAAGAAGAGGAAGAGAAGGATAAGGTACATCAGCCTAAAACATCTACCTGGCCCAGTTACTTCTCTCATGTTGGGAGGTGCCAAGTGGCCACCCCCCCAAGGGAAATCGGTCACTTGAAACTGGGCCTTTTCTGTGGTGGCCACTTCACTTTGGAACTCCCTCCCACCAAAGGTACGACTGACCCCCATCCCTCCTGGGTTTTACGAAGCAACCGAAGACCTGATTCTCCCAAGCTTTTCGATTGTTTGCCCTGAATCATGTAATTTTAAGTATCCCTTCTGCCGCCAGCCTGCCATTAATGTTCCTTTTTCTTTATGGTTTCTCTAGCTTTGTCTGGGACCCCTTTTTTCACTCTTGTTTTACTGTTTTTATCATTTTTTATAACTCTGATAGACACCCAGAGTAGTAGCCTAGCTGACCTGATTCTCCCAAGCTTTTCAATTGTTTGCCCTGAATCATGTAATTTTAAGTATCCCTTCTGCCGCCAGCCTGCCATTAATGTTCCTTTTTCTTTATGGTTTCTCTAGCTTTGTCTGGGACCCCTTTTTTCACTCTTGTTTTACTGTTTTTATCATTTTTTATAACTCTGATAGACACCCAGAGTAGTAGCCTAGCTGCTAGTTGAGTGGGATAAGTGTAAATAAATACATACATACATTCGTTAAGACCACACAAAGGGACCACCTAGTCTAGCTTCCTGGCTTCGATCGTAGAATAATAAGAGTTAGAGGGGGTCTAGAAGGCCATCGAGTCCAGTCCCTTGCTCAAGGCAAGAATCCAGATCAAAGCAGGTCAGACAGATGGTGGCCCAATTTTCTCTTGAACGGCCTCAAAGGCTCCTTCCAACCCCTCCAGCGTTGGAAGGGCCAACTGGATGCTTTTGGGAAGCCAACATACAGGATCCGAAGACCAGACAGCCTCCCGTTCAAGTCCTCTCGGTATCCAAAGACATGGGGCATCTGATCATGAAGTAGTATGGAAGTCTAGCAAATGGTAGCTTTTGAGAGACTTAATCTCCATGAATTTGCCCGATGCTCTTAGCTCTTGATATTTACTGTGTCGGAGACTGCTGTAGAAGAGACCCATTGAAATCTATGGGACTTAACTCTGTCATGGGCTAATGTCGCATCCCATGATTTCAAGGGGTCTTTTTAAAAGTCCCCTTGCATCTGTCCCATTCACATTAGGCCTGTCACCATCACCCTGAAATGCAGTCTTAGTCAATTCACTATATGATCCAAGCTGCTAAATACATGTATGAACTAGGAGTACATGTGTCTAACGAAGACGAGGAAAGTGTGCATCTCTGGATATTGTTAAAATGCAGTTCCTCTGTCCCTTGGCTATGTTTGCTAAGGCTCAGGGGAGCAGTAGTCTAGTAACATCTGGAGGACCAGATTGCCACCTGTAGAGTAGTCAAGTAATAAATCATCGTTCCCTTGAGTATGAGTCCTCCTTAGGTAGCCCAAAAGGCACCACTCACACACAAGAGGAACGTGTTTGGGCAAAACCCTGAGGTTAGCAAGAAAAAGGTTATATCAGAAAACAGCACTGGAATCCATGGAAAAGCTTGATCATGTTGAGTAGAATGCCAACTAACCTGGGGCAGGGGAGAACCAGTAAATTAGGAGAATTATAATAATCAGTCTGGACTCATGGTGATCCTTTCTGGGTAGAGAATACTCAGAAGTGGTTTGCCATTCCTTTCTCAGGGCACCTTGGGACTCTATTCTCAGGAGGCCCAGTGGGGAATCGAACTCCCAACCTCTCACAGCCAGATACGTAAACCACTGAGCTATTCAGTCAGCTAAATTAGGGAAAAGGGTAATGGAATGCAGTATTCCGAAAGAAGGTTTTGCTAACCAGAAAGGACTTTTGATGGAATGGAGTATTCAGAAAGAGTATTTGGCTGGTGAGGATGGAATATTTGAGTCTCCCCCCAGAAGCATGTTTCGTTACATAATTTGTACCCAATTAACAAGGCAAGCTTCTGGTGACATTGCTACGTTTTGAGTTGTAAAGACAAGTCTTGTATGTTTCAGCTACTGGTCATGTACAAGGGTGTTGGGTTTTTTAAACAGACAAAAATTGTCCGCACAGATCTATTGATTCCTGCGCCGCATGGGTGTCTTTTCCGTTCCAGACAATGCAGCGTATTAAACCTCTGTCTCTAAGTCCCATGAGGTGCTTTAGAGCACCAGATGCCCGGCTGCAGAAATTATGTACCTGGTTTTTCATTGGGTTGGTCCCATTGAGTGGGATCGGGATGAGGCTGGAATTCTCACTGGGCTTAGAAAAGACACAGGATGCAAATCTGACCCTAAAAACAACCCTGAACCAACAGCTAACCCTTTGATACTTTGGAATTTTGGGTAGAAGGGATGTTAAAATAGACCCCTGAACCCACTCCATGCAAGCTAGTAGGTGGGGGTTAAAGTCAATTAATAGTTTAGTATTTCATTATTACTTTGTTATATAGATGCAGATGAGAAATGTTATAGACAGGTAGAATTTGAAGAGCAGTTGTGAAATCACGAAGGGATAAATAAAGCCATTGCATCTATGGGAAGCTGCTTACCTTCACGATCTGGAGGGTAGTCCATCAGAACTTGCCTTCTGACATGGACTTCACCACAAATGGAGATGACAGCTCTCACATATTCTCTCCCACAAAGCCTCACGAGAGATCCCCCTCCTGTGGCAAAGATGGCTGCCATGAAGCAGAGGGAGAGAAGCCCAACGGCGTTGACCTTCTTCATGGTTCAGAAATATGTGGTTTTAAGAAAGCCGAGTGTGGTGTGGAGGAACAGAGAGAGGAAGAAAGCTCACCCAGGAGAAGGAGTTATCTGGCTGTCATATATAGGATGTTCTCTCCCTTGATTGGTTGCGAAGCATGGTCAACACGCTTTGAACATCACCGGATGTACATCAATTACTTTGCTTCAGTTCTTAAAAATTGCTGCGGGATTTCCTTCATCAGCTTCCATCAAGCATTAAAAGTATATTTATTTAACAGTTACGAGGACGTGGTGACAGCAGAGGTGTGAAATTTACGGGATTTCAACAGGAGATGTAAGGCCTTAATGTGTGTTCGGTATCAATAAATGGGTTTTTTATTGCATGTGTCACACATTGTGAATTGCAGAACCGCCGTGTGGTCACGCTGGGTCAAGGATGAGCAACCTGTGGGCTTCCGGAGTGATCTCACACCATCCTTGCTGTACTTTTTCAAAATTCCCGCGCAAGTAGTGGGTTTAAGCGACTGCAAAGATGACCTGTACTTTCCATAGAAATCTAGCAGATCAGGAGAGAGAAAGGGGCAAGGGGCCCAACAAAATTTGGAAATTAAGCATTTCGAGAAATGATGTTCTCTGAAACATATTCTTGTGAGGGAAGATGCCCAGTGAGGGGTACAATGGCCAGAGCAATAATTAAGACAATCCGGGCTTTGACCCAGGGGGCTGAAACGCAAAGGGTGAAAACCTTCCTGCCCCAAACACATATTACCTGCCTCAGCAGAAGAAAATCTAAAACAAGCAGGCTTAGCAAAGAATGAAAAAATCTGAAACAAGCAGGCTTAGCAAAGAACGAAAAGAAAATCTAAAACAGGCTTAGCAAAGAAAGAGTGTGGCCATCATATCCTCAAACACTCCTTAAATACATATTTTGGAATCTTATTTTCTCACAACATCCCTACATATAAGCATATTTCCTCTAACTCAGGGGAGTGTGGCCATCATATCCTCAAACGCTCCTTAAATACATATTTTGGAACCTATTTTCTCACAACATCCATACATATAAGCATATTTCCTCTAACTCAGGAGTAACCA